TGCTTAGGGTGGGATGAGTGGCTTTGACCTTAGAGATAGGATACGAAATGAGCATATACGTGAAAAAGGTTGGGAGTAGCTCCAGGAAAGATAGAGAGCCTTAGATGGTTTGGTCACATTAAACGGAGGCCTTCCGATGACCCGATTAGGAAAGTTGAGGTATTAGATTTAGCTTATGTTAAGAAAGATAGAGGTAGACCTAAAAAGACTTGGTTAGAAAATATTAGAAATGATATTTCTTTATTAGATTTAGATGAGAATTTGACTTTTAACCGGACACAATGGCGAAAAAAGATTGATGTAGCCGACCCCACGTAGTGGGACAAAGGCTTGATGTTGATGTTGATATATATATGGGTTTCGAAAATTTTGTGCCCTGGGCTCTTACGTCGCATCTTTTATTTGACGGATGAGGAGAGGTTTACTAGATTTAAGTTCCGGGTGAATTTTTTGAAGGCAGATTGGGTTTTAGATAAGACATTACCCTGAGATTTCGCCCTCATTTTGCGAGGACTTTATGATCTGACTTCTGGTTTCCTATAGGCGCAAGGCCATATAGTTAATTATCCCTCCCGATAACGAGAGAGAACTTTCGATTAATGCTAGTATAAATACTGAGTACCCAACATATAGTAGCAGCAAATTTTGTGATTTTAAAAATTGGATTTTTAGGAATTTTTTAGATTTGAAATTTATCAACTTGTACTTGAAATAGGTGATGGGGGGGACAAAGACAAGCTGAATCAAGATATCATAGTTATGTCATCCCGGACTGTCATGGTCCCTGGTCTACTTAGTCAGAGGAGGTAATCAACCCAAACTGATAGAAGGAACATTGTCGGCAGCCATGAGTTGATTTGTCCAAGAATATTGTATAGATTTAGGGTGGTGTTTGTTTAAAGAGATATATTTGAATTCACATTAGCTGAGAAAAAGTGTTTTATGCCTATCAAATATACCTATGATTCATTACTCAAGGGTTTGAAACCATTAGGGAATATACGGGCTTTGGCCGTGATCGTAATATAGTTGTGTCATTTTACGGTAAAATCACCTAATTAGATGGCATGTGCCACGTCTCTACTGGCAATATAGTATCTGAGGATGAATCTTAGTGATACACCCAAAACGACATTCTCTCTTTATGAGCTGAGGTCAATTTCAAAGTTATCACTCCTAACAAACGGTTGCGGGAGGTGGATGGGTTTTAACTTTAAGTTTTTAAGTGATAGATTCATTTTAATTTTTCAGATTTTTATTGGTTTTGAGATTTAACCTTTTCGGTTGAGATTGTCTTTTAACACATCCATCATCGGGGCGGTGGCGAATCACTTATAAAAGATTAATTATTTAGATGTTTATTTGTTAATCCAAATTGTGTCGACTCTAGTCCTTTCAAGGAGGATGATGAAACTTGAATACATGCCCACGCAGCATTCTAGAACCTTAGGATTTAGGAATTCAAAATAATGATCGGACTTCATGCAGGTTGTGTTTTCAACATATAAATTGGAACTATTATAGAGATATCACTTTTTATCCGCTTGTACAAGTGGGTTGCGGATCCAATGGCTTGAAAACGTATTAGGCATTTAATTCATTCGAGTTTATCATTTAGCATATTTTACATATTTTATTCAACTGACAATGATAGATCATGCCCTTTGTTCGTAAATGAGCTTTTGTTTACTGTGAATCTCCTATTGTCACCTACAAGCTAGTTGTGTGCACCATCAATATTATGCTCTTGCTCACAGGTGAATTGTAGCATGTATTAAAAGTTTCTTGCTATTATCCACGGACAGCCTGGTTTGTTTCTCACATGTGAATTGTAGCGTTTTATAGGTTTTATATCCTTTACTTACAGATGGACTGGTTATGCATTAAGGATCTCTTACTCATACCCATAGACAATACATGTGTTATTTGCATGTCCACTGTTATCATTCACGAGCAAGCCATCATGTTTGTTATAGGTTTCTTGCTATTGCCTGCAATGTTCAAACCCATTAAATTTTGTAGCGCTAAAAGTCTGCTGTTTATCTTCAACTACTTCAACATGTCGATCCAAGTAAAGCGATGCATTTGTGAACTTTTGCTTTTCCAAAAGGTTGTAATACGAGAAGAACTAGTCAAGTTCTAACAATCAACTTCGATAATTGTCATCCTTAAAGAACGATATATCAATTTTCAATGTTTCTAATGAAGATCTTGAATGATGGTCGAAAGATATTCATGAGAAGACCCCTCATCTTTATCATTGGGCTTTAAATGTTTTGATCGATCCATCTTTTCTTTAATTGAGAATAAACTATGTGAAACATTATTGAGGATTTTTGTCATCATCGACATAAGCTCTTCTATCTTGTCGAGATGTCTAACATAATCCTTGAATATTGGTAACTCTCTAGTTTCCATCAAGAAGATGCAAGCAATTTTAAGGGGTGAAAAAGAAGCTGACAAGAGTAGAGCTAGGCAGAGTTTGCATCAAGATGTATTGTTGCTTAGTATTGAATACTTGCAGAGATAGTTATAGCTTTCAATAAAGGCATGAGTGTATGTATTTCACATGTTTATCCAATTTATATTTAGTGACTGATATTATTATTTTTATCATTTGTTAAATCTAATTTTAATTAAGTGTGGGGGTCATTTGTTTGTTTAACGTTTCGGCAGCCTCCCGGTTTCCCTTCCCTGTGAAGGGAGGTAAGGAGGGCATTTGCCCTTTTACTCCGCCTGGCCGGATTAGGATTTGACAGCCATGGGTTTCGGGATGTTGATGGGTCTCGAAATCTATCTTCAGGGCTTCCAATTGGTTTTTGAAATAAGTCAAATAACTAGTTATATTTTTTCTAAAAAATTTGGCAGCTTTTTGGCACCCTGTCCCCACAAAGGGAGGTTGGGAGGGCACTTGCCCTTTCAAATTCGCTTGGCCGGATAAATATTGAACGGCCGAGGGCTTCGGGGTAATAATCGACCCTGGAATCGGTCTTCTAGTCTCCAATTTGTGATTGTAACACATGTTGCTTTCTTTTGGAGTGGATCAGATCAGATTGGAGCGGATCATATCAGATCGTGGGGGATTGATTGGGTCAAATCAGGTTGATCAGATTGGATCAGGTATGGGTAGCCTAAGATCGGCGAGGATTAGGCCGGATCGCGGGCTGATTGGGTCGGATTGGTTGAAGCAGGATGTGAGTTGGATCGAGAGGCTAAGAGGGTATAGAGGTAAGTGTGGATCGTGCTAATCAGGTGTTCGGGTAAGACAAAGATGGCTGAGGAGGAGTTTAGTCAGGCAGTGCCATGGATTCAAAGTTGAAGGCGGGGGATAGGAGTCTACGAATCATGCAAGATTGAGCGGGGTTTGCTCGTAAATGGGTTTGGAGCGGACGGCTAGGTCGGCATGGCCGTTCCGTGTGTGCGAGCACACATGCTAGCAAGTTAGGTGATTTAACTAGTGCCTCATTTATGTTTACCAAGAATTTTATGTTTAAGGATGGATATTAAGGTGAACATTCAAAATTCATCTTAGATAGAATTAGGAGTGTTATGGGCCTTTCAACTGTGATAAAATTTAGCCATGATTAATGATAGTTATTATTAGCCAACAATGTTGTATGTATAGCCTCACAATGAAGAGCTTGCGTAAGGAAAAGAAACATAACATTGGGTATTATGTATTATTGCTTGTTCTATATAAATATTGAGAGGATGTTAGCATATACTTTGTCCTAGAATTGCCACAAATGCTGAGGAAACATTATTTCATTTTTGTATTGTTTCATTGTTTTTAAAAATGCATTTTGTTTCACATTTTAAAACTACTAATATGTCTCACATAATAAAGTATACTTCAATGAAGTGATAAAATTACATGGATTACCTATACTATTACATATGATAGAGAAGTGTTTCCATTGAAAAAAAATTGGGAAGAAAATGGGAACCTAATTAAAGTTTACAAGTATTTATACCCCACAAATTAATTGTTAAACAAAAGTAGTTAATTGGAGTATGAGCGATATGTTGCACTTTCTCATTAAAGAAAATACACGTCTAAAGATTTGGTACTAATTATGATTGAGTTTGTGTATAACTCATTTATTATTAGATGTACCAGCATGAGTTGATTTGAAATTGTTATAGATGGAAAGCTAATTGATTTTGTTGAACTTCTTTTAGACTCTTAATTTTGTAAATTTGCACAATCATTTGCTAAATATATATGCATGATCTGCATTAAGATATTCATAGAAAATTAATTGTTAATTATGACAATGAAATAGTGTTATTGCTGTGAATAGAAGGTATGCATAATTCAAATCATGTGATATATATAGATTTTTTATTTTTTTTTATATGGGCCTTTAAGAAATTAATTACAGTTGTGTTGATCACTCTGAATTGAGAAATGATTGGTTAGCTATTACCTGGCTCTCTACTTGCTCAACTTTGCTGACGTTAGGCTTTATTCCTAGATCTTTAATAGACTGGAAATACAAGAGCTATGTATGGCATGCCAATTTTGTTATTGACATTGCAATTAGCAGCCTCATGGTTTGACAAAAAAATTCATGTAGTTTCCTATGATTAGCAAGTTTTCCAATCTTTTGCGTAGAGATGTTATTGTTAGAGAACGATGAACCAAATACAAAGAGAAATAGTAAAGAGAATCTAAAAATATCCTTACATCCAAAATTTATTCCGGGGGCGCTGGCCCTTGAAACCCCTGACATATATGCGAAGCGTACAACGATGAACAAATAGGAGTCGCCTCCGGAACAAATTTTAGTTGTGAGGATATTTATGAAATAAAAATTCTACACTTTTATTTATAAATTTGTCTCCCTTAAAAATTAAGTCTAGATCCGCCCGTGATTAATTGGTTGTCTTTTAATTGGCTAAATATTTCAACATCTACTCTATCCATGCCACAGGCGTTTTTGATCACGGTGCGGAACAAAAAAAGAGTTGGCTACACATTTGAGTTGACATTGAGATTCGAAGGTCTAGTAAGCAAATGACATTCAATAGCCACATTCTTTTCTGTTTTGTATGTCTATACTGCTGCTTTCGTTTCTGCTACTGAAGTGGCCACTTATTATTAAAAAAAAAAAAAACAGGTGAGTGGTCAATCAAAGACCAAAAAGAAAAGATCAAAGGCCATGTAGATATTCCTGAATTTTCATTTGGTGAACTAGATGACTTGACTATACTCTGCTGCTTTCGTTTCTGCTACTGAAGTAGCCACTTATTATTAAAAAAAAAAAACAGGTGAGTGGTCAATCAAAGATCAAAAAGAAAAGATCAAAGGCCATGTAGATATTCCTGAATTTTCATTTGGTGAACTAGATGACTTGAAGGTTTGGCATATTAATTCTACATTTCCATTCATCTTAAATCGTCTCAACTTGATAAAATGCTGGTAATTGTCCTTTCGCTCCTCTTGCAGATAGAGTCACGGATTAGCAATGACATTTCTGCAGAGGTTAAGGCACAGATTAGCGAGGACCTGCAGTCTTTCCTGGAACCAATTCGCAAGAAACTTTCCCAGTTCGAGCAAGAACTGAAAGATAGGTAGCATATTAACCATGATTAGTGCCCAATTTTTTTTTTTATATTACGTCATTTATATAAGCTTTGAATTGTATAAGAACCAGAATTTTAAGCTAGCTTTGTTCATTTATGTGGGGATGAACTCTGAACGATGTAGACGTTATGTACACTTGGCTTTTAATTTGAGGACTATTTTAACATGCTGCAATCACTGGTGATCTGCTCGTCTATTGATTCAACCTAGTAATATACATTATGTACACTTGGCTTTCAGTTTTCTTCATAAGTATGATTTCCGTTTCGCTCGGAGAAATTATTACGTGCGGAGATCAGACACAAAGAATCATTTCGTGAATAGTAAAAGCGCAGTAAATTGTGTTTTTATTGTTCACCATTGCGTTCACATAGACAAAATCAACCCGTTCTTTTTGTCTGGTCTCCACACGTAATAATCTTTCATTCGCTTGGGATTGTGTTTTGTTTGTATTTATACTAAAAAAATTATTTGAAAAATCTGTTACAAAGGAAATTGTCTTCCACTAGCTGATATGTATGAAAATGTATGAAAATGTATGCAAATTGATTTATCCAGAGATTTCAATAGAAAAAAATCGCTCGTTGTCAGTCATATATTAATATGCTTTAAAAGTTGCCTAACTGTTTTAATGAGAATAATAAACATCTCCTAATCTAGTGTGAGGGACTCAAAGTATAATGATATGATTTGTGGTTTATTGAGTTGGTTAAGTGAGCTTGATGAGTGATTTTATTGTTAATAATTAAGGATTGTAAAGGTTGGAGCAATACTGTTTGCCTCCCAACATTAAGGGGCTGTTAGAATCTTTGATTAGAAGTAAAAGGTTTTTAAGTATTCTAAAAGTACTTAGCTATGTATTGACTAGTCATATATTATAAGTTTTTAAAGTAAATTTTTGCTTTCAACAGTCAAATTTGATTTGTAAATAAAAAAATATATAACTATAAAGGATGCAAATATTATACCACAAGAATATAATAAAGATGATTATTTGAAAGTTTGTATTTTCACTAAATGCTTTCAATGTAACTACCTTAAATAATTTCATTCTAAAATCTCATATCTTTACATAAAAAACTTATAAAACTTACATCAAATGAACAAATTTGTGTGGCTAAAAATTACATTTTCAGTATAATTTCTCTAATACATAGCTGTGTAAAAGCTAAAAAAGCTTTCAAATGTTCAAATAAAATATTTTATATTCATTTAAGCTTGAGTGTACAATAATAATGTACATCAGTACACAACAATACATATTAAAATACATAGTAATACACAATAAAATATACAGCAATACACAATAGCTATACATAGTAAAATACACAATAATACACACCAATAAACACCAATACACACCTATACACAGTAGTACACAGCAATACAAATCAATACACACCAATGCACATAAAAGTTTAATGAAAGTCCGGTGAGAGGAAGAAGTCTGGCGACAAGTGGAAGTTCGATGTCAGGTAAAAGTTTGGCAACTGACAGAAGTTCGACGGCAGGGGAAAGTTCGGCTTTAGGTAGAAGTGCAGCTACAGACGGAAGTCCGGCTCCTGATAGGAGTCCGACGAAAGTCTGACGATGGGTAAAAGTCTAGCGACGGGCAAAAGTTCTAGCATCGGATATAAGTCCGGTGATGAGCGGAAACTGGCATCAGGTAGAAGTTAGAAGAAAGTCCGATGAAGGTCAGAAGTCCATTGACGTGCGAAAGTTTGGCGAAGGGCAGAAGTTTGAGCATAAGGCAGAAGTTCAAGCGTTAGGTAGAAATATTGCGACAGGCGGAAGTCCGACGTCAGTCGGTGGCCGGGTTGTGGTCGAGGAGTCTGGTGTCAATAGAACTCTTACTCTCCTTGCTTGGGCCTCCTTCTTCCTCCTTGCTTGGGGAAATTATTGGGTCAAGTCACCGGACGTGTTTGGAGCCCAATGAAAGTGCGCTACAACACCTCCTACTCGGTATTGAGCTCCTGCTCGGTACTGCAGCTTAGTACTGCTCGGTACTCAGTTCTTCACATTACCGAGCTCAGTACTGCTCAGTACTGTGAATACCGAACGTAAGCTGTGTCTGGTGACCTGACCCATTAATTTCTCCCTTGTTTGACCCCCCTCTCATGAGAAATGAGGAAGTCTATTTATAATTTTCTAAGAGTGGCATGACCAAAAAATAGGAGAAATATCAAGGGTAAATTGAGAGTGTTTTGAATGGACAAGCGATGTTGAATCCTTTGATTGTGGACTGTTTATTGGATATTTTAATGTCTTAATGATATCAGAATTTAATGATCTTGGGCTCGATGGATTTGTCTCGTCGAGCCGCTCAATTCAACTATAAGCATGTTATATTTTTAAACTGTCTGATAATCCAAATTATGGATTGAACGTTTCAAATGTGCTTTGGGTCTTTGATTTGGACTCATTTGGGCTCGGATTGAATCAAATTTTTTGCTATTGGGTTCGATTTTTGTAGACATTCAGTTCGACTATAAGTTTGCTTAAATCGGAGTTTGGATGGTCTCCGATTTAATTTTTGAAGTTTCCAACCTAATTTCTCCTCAAGATTCATGCCCGATCAACATAATTTTTTTATGATATATCAATTGCCCCCTATTTTCGTACGTCAAAGCTTCAGAAGTCCAAAAATACTTATAATAGTATTTCAAATAGTTCAAATCGCAAAAAATGTCAGAAAAAGTTGTGTTCCAAAAAATTTAAAATTTCTCCAATTTGATCATAGATGTTCCGTTGAACTCCGAAAGTGTGAAAATTGGATTTAAAACGTTGAAAAATGATTTCTATGATCCAAAACAAGTCTGTTTTGGACAGTCTGAGCAGAAAAATCGAATTCTGACACATTCGGCCGGCCGGGTCGCCTGCGGAGGGCTCGCATGAAGCGCCTCTTAGAGCGGAAAAGTTATTACGTTCGGACAAAAAACCGAAAATCCGAATAAATACTTAGCGATACCGAGTGCTCGGTACCAAGCGCCCAAGTGACGTGGAGCTTTGTTATTAATCTGTGGACATGTTCGATGTCCGGACACAATAATTACTACTTAGAGCTGGTGGTTAATGCAGCAACTGTTGTTCGCCGGTTGCTGTTATAATAAAATTGTTTTTTTTTTTTTTTTGTGGGCCCACGCACCTTTTTTTTAGAGAGGGAAAGGAGAATAGAAAAAAAAATTCTCTTTGTTTATTTTTTTAGGGGCCGTCTCTTTTTTCTGAGAGAGAGAGACAGAATTTTTTTTTTCTTGGTGGGGGCCGTCTTCTTTCTTTTTTGAGAGAGAGAGATATAGAAATTTTTTTCTCGTTTTTTTTTTGCAGGGCCTGTTTTTTTAGACAGATTTTTTTTTTTTAATTCCAAAAATTTTATTATGGGGCTAAAAATTCGTCTAATATATTGTGCATTGAATGACATGAGGCGTCCGGATTAACCTCTGATTACATCCGAACTCCAAAAATAATAATTTCTATCGTTTATGACGACTTTCTTATAGCTTTACATCCCATACAAAACTTTAAATAATATTTTGGCCTTTAACTCGACAACGTGTAGCATTTGACATAATAGTCTATTCTTATAAATAATATAATTGAAAATTGGTATTTACTATTTTCTAATCATAGTATATAATACTATTTTTATATAAAAATAACATGTCTTTTTTTCTTGAAATAAGTAATAATTTTTTTAATTTATTTATTTCTTAGTTTCAATTTTAAGCTTTTATTACAATTCTTCCACTCAAGTGTTAAATAATACGCTCCTTAACTTATAAGTTTGAATGATCGAAAATACTAATCATTTGTTTAATTAGTAATTAGTTAATTACTAATTATATAGGATTCATAAGCCTCTAATTATAGGATCCGAATATTTTTTCTATGGGTCTGTTTGATTTACTGAAAAAGAAATGCATTATAAAGTAAAATAAATATATGAGGTTTTTTGGTTTTTTTGTAAAATGAATGCAAATGACTTATTTTTTATATTTAATTGGATACATGAAGAGTAAAGTAAAATCACTGTTAGAACTTGCTAAGCTATAAAAATTTTTTGTTTCAACATGCTAAGTTTTATAAATTGTGAGCAGGATTTATGCTTTATTTTGAGTAGGAAATATGCCAAATCATAGGATTTATGATGCTAAACCTAACGGTGGAATAAATCATCTGTCTCCCTTACGATAACATCAGGTATGACATTCTTCCTTTGATTGGGCTTTCCCTTCTTAACAGTAGCCATCATCACATCACTAACGCAGGCAGATGGTAGTCGGGCCTTTTTCCCCTTTTTGCGAATTGGCGGGATTTGGCTGAAGAAGCACACGAATGGAAGAAAGCTAACTTCATAGCATGCGAGCTCCCATAGTTACTTTTTATGCTTTCAATATGATAGGAAGGGAAGAGCTTTGAACTTGGACGAAGAAGCGACGATGATTCCTACAACAAAAGAGGAAGGAATAATCTCCTATTACCATACTTACATGAAACATACATCTTTCTCTTGCCGTCATCTCATGAATTTCTTTTTCACTCAAATTTGGACAATTTTGTTTTACCCATAAAATAAACTATAATAGAGAGTTCCCAATACATGGGGATTTTATTTCACTATATTATGTGTCCAATCAAACAGCAAAAAAATTAAATTATTTGCTTAACACTCACTTTAGTGCCAAGTGTCAACCAAACAGCCCCCGAAATAAATAGTTGGTATAAAATAATCTTAATACCGAAATTCTAGTTTACAAATTAAGAGGTATAGAATAATATTTTCTCTTCATAATATGCACATTTAACAATAACCATAAATTAGCGAAAGCTGCTTCGGAATAGTGGCGCTTCAGCTGTAGGGTATGGTTGGCGGCGGCGGCGACGCGTATGACACGCCGACAACCGGCGGCAAAGTCAAGTTTTGACCAGCGCATTCTGGCGGAGACGGCAGGGGCATTTCCTGAGGTGGTTTTGGTTCTCGCAGGTGCTCCGATGGAGGCGGAGCGGGCATGGAATGCTCCGCCGGCGGTGGATGGTGGTAGCCGGGTAGACTACCCGGAGGTGGTAAATGATATGCTGGATGCTCTGTTGGTGGTGGAGAAACGACCGTCGCCGGCGATGGTGCAAAATGTGACGGTGTTGAATGGCCGCAGCTAGATGGCGCCGGCAATGGCGGGATGGATGCCATGGGAGACGGCGGAGCACAAGATTTAGTAGGAGGCGATAACTCTGAGATAGGAGGTGGCGGAGGCGTTCCGGAGAACAAGCTTTTATGCGAGTTAGAAAGTGGAGTCGGCGGGGACGGCCTTATCCTCCTCGCTTTGCCAATTCTCCCTCCGCCGCACTTAGCTTTACTGCAATCAAATTCCCTTGTATCAGCCGCGGTACACTGGGTTGGCGGCCGCTGATTAGTAATTCCGGCTATGCAGTTCCCTCTCCCATCTCGCACCAACCCTCTCCCTCTCGCGCCACATTCAGACGCCTCGCCGGTGAGAAAATTATGCGAAAATGTAAAATTTTGGAGCCTGGGCAGCCCGCAAACGAAACCAGGAACAAAGCCTGTAAGTTGATTTCGCCCAATATCAAGCTGCTCAGTACTCGCCAATCCGGCGAATGATGCCGGAATCGGCCCCTGCAGCCGATTGAAGCTCACATCAAAAACTTTAACTTTGCGAAGCTTGCCGACTTCGGGGGGAATGCAACCGGTGAGATTATCGTTTAGGAGGATTATCTCACTAAGGGTTTTCTCCATCTTTCCGATGCTGGAGGGAATGCAACCCCCAAGATCATTGTTTGCGAGGACGACGACGGAGGCAGGGGAGTCGCCGAGGGTTTCCGGGATGCCAGCGTGGAGGCGATTCGAGTTGAGGAAGATGGCGTCAAGGGGAAGGCGGAAGAGGGCTGATGGGATTGGACCCTCGAACTCGTTGAAGCGGAGATCGAGATAGCGGAGGGAAGGGAGGGAGAGGACGACAGAGGGGAAGTTTCCGGCGAAGCGGTTGTTGCTAAGATCTAGCTCGTGGAGAAGGCGGAGGCGGCGGAAGGTGTCGGGAAGAACGCCGCAGAAGCGGTTAGAGTTGAGATGAAGGATAGTGATGTCGGAGAGTAAGGCGAGCTCTGGTGGGAGGTAGCCGGCGATATCGGCTGCGTTGAGGTCAACGGAGGCGACGACGGTGATGGAGGGGTGGGAGGGCAGTAGGGCGCAGTAAATGCCGGTGTAATCGCAGACGTTGGAGCCCACCCATGATGAAGTGAAGTTTTTGGGGTCGGAGAAGATGGCTGTTGTCTTCCAGGCCTGTAGGGCAAAATAGGCGCGGCGGAGGTGAGGGTTTGGGAAGTCGACGGCGGCGGGGAGAGTCGAAACTGCGGTGTTGGCTTCGAGTGTAGTGGAAGTAGAGGAGAATGCAGAGAAGAGGAAGAGGAAGAGGAAGAGGAAAAGAAAGGTAGGGCGCGCCATTACTTTGTCGACCGCGAGGACGAAGTTGGGATTCACATGGGAGCTGGCGGCGAGATCCTTCGGCGATCAGCATGGAATGGCAAAATTTTTTAAAAATTATTATTATTAAAGTATTTTTTTAATAGGATTTATATGCATGTCACTTTATTTTATTTTAATTACATATCTAACACCTAAATTTTTAATATTATAATCTTACCACTCATATAAAATTTTAATATTAAATATATCACCACCCAAACCAGCATATAAACTTTAATATTTCATTTCATGCGCATATATTTATTCTACGGGTGATAGGCATGTAATATTAAATTTTAGGTGTTAGATATGTAAATAGCATGAAATAAAATGATATGTATGTAAATCCTCCTTTTTTTTATTTGTCTTGATTAAAACATAATATTTTACATTAAAAAATATTAATATGCATGTTACTGAATTCTTATATGTTATATTTCTAATATTTATATATTTATGTTTTTATATAATATTCTAATATTTAAATAATATAAAAAAGGGAGTTTTACATACATACCACTTAATTCTATTATATTTACATATTTAACATCTAAAACTTTAATATTACATAAATACCACCCATAGTTCATTTTCATACAAAATATGAGTGGTAGAAATGAAATATATGAGTGGTAGGAAAGAAATATAAGTGGTATATTTGATATTAAAATAATATAGGGTGGTATGGATGTAATATTAAAGTTTTAGGTGTTAGATATGTAAATAGGATGTTATAAAGTGATATGTATGTAAATTTCCCTATAAAAAAATAACTACAATAATTTTAAATAAACCTGGAGATAAAATTTTAGGTTGACATTTGTCAGCCATAATTGGTATAAAAATGTTTCTTCCTTGAGCAATACATGCAATGGTGCAAATGCCTCGTGAATCACTAAATCGTTCAGAGACCAATCAGGATGCTTTACACAGCAGTACACAACAACTAAACATAATGTATTGATGATGTGGCACGTCCTGATTAGCCCCCGGACAATATCTGATGACCGCACGTAATAATTTTGCGTGGATCAAAGATCTATATAAGCTACAATAACTTTGAATCAAATTTAAGGCAGCCAAAAAATGACCAGGATAGACCGGCAATTCTGTGTTGAAAGACATTTCTCTTCCAGAGCAATTAAATACCTTATATGGCTTAGTAGAATTAGAAGCTTATAGAGGCTCTATAACTTTGGGAAGTCCACCCAAGCAAATCCAATTTTCAGCCAATCTACTATTTTGCTTAATTTAAGTCGAGGGAGGAGAAGGAAATATAGCAAAATCATAATAATTCATAAGTTGGCTAAAGGTTTACTTCATATTTGAAATTGGTGCCACATTTTTATTTGGATGGTACATCTTTGCTATTTTTTAGAAATTTTTTGATCGAAACTACTTTAAAATATATCAGTGTGGTAGATATAATAAAAATAATAATCTATTTGTTTTTTTTTAAAAAAAACATGTATAATACTCATAATCATTTAAAAAAAATTTACTTTTTGCATGATAAATTTACAATTGTTGCGTCCTGAAACATTCGCTGCAGTAGAAAGCTGATAAAGTGCTTAATGTCTTAGCTTTGAAGAACCAGCACATGGACGGATGAAAGAGAGAGGGGTGCGAAAGTACGTAAAAAGAGACCAATATTTTTTAATGAAAAACCCTAAAGAGGAAAAACCACGAGGCCTCACACAGTTGAAAAAATGATTCCACTAGTGTTTGTAGTCTATTCCAAATGATGCCCTTTCTCGGAGAGAGGGCCTTTGCTCAATGTTGCAAGTATACATCATATAGAACATATTACACTGTGAGAGTTGGGAAAAAATTCAGTGATATGAGAATTGTAGTCCGTGGGCGACTGTAGTTGAAGTGGACCATGGTCAGCAGGCCACGGTGGTCGAAGGGACCATAGTTAGTGAGTGACAAAGGTTGGAGGGACCGTAGTCGGGCGACGAGGGTCGAAAGAACCGTAGCCGGCGGGCGACAGTGGTTGAAGGGACTGTAGTTGGCGGGCAACAATGTTTGGAAAGATTGTAGTCAAGCAACAGTGATTGAAAGGACCGTGATCGGGCGACGATGGTTGGAGGAAAGCTCGTTAGTGGATTCCATACGGAGGTTAGACAATTATTATTGTCCAGAGGTTCATCAATTGTGGTCTGGTGGTGCAAATTTGTCGGTGGTGGTACCGGGTTGAAGCTCTAGGATTCTTCAAGAACCAGAGCTCTTCTCTCTTTCCTCCTCCCAAAGACTCCCAGCCCCCATTTCATATGGGAAGTGGGGGTTTATATATAATTTTTTAGAATGATATAGTTAGTAAATATGAAGAAGATCGATGGCATATTGGAGTGTTCTATCAGACGGCTCATATTGATCGATCTCCTTGATCATTGAGCGTTTATCAAGAAATTAAATGCCTTAGAGATGCCAAAATTGATCGATTTTGGGCTTGTTGGATTCCTCTCGGCGAGCCGCTCTATTTGACTATAAGCATGATTTATTTGGATATCATTTGGTCATCCAATTTATGCTTTAAACCTTCCATATGTGTATCAGGCCGTCGAATTGGACCCATTTGGGCTCGGACTGGATAGAATTCAGTGTCGTTGGGTTCGTATCCTTGAGATGTTCAATTTGACTATGAGCTAGCTGAAATCAGAGTTTGGATGATCCCAAATTTAATCTTAAAAGTTTTCAATTCATATTTGCATCGAGATTCATGCCCAATCTAGATGATTTTTGGTGACGTATCAACAATCATCTTTTAAAAAAATATATATATACAGCTAGCACAAATGAATCTTAACACTTTGACTTCACTTCACTCGGTTATTCTTTCATTTCCTTTGATTCCAAACTCTTATCATTCAAAGCTACAGCATAACAAAAGGATACCAATTGAATTTTGTATTCATTTTCTTATTTTTTTCTCTGAATAGCTGAATCCATCCTTCGCTTCAATACAGCCATCATCTTATAGGCTCCACTTCATTATGATTCTTCTCGCTTTTTCATTGCTTTGTCTGCCTTCATTCTGAATAATGTAAGATTTGAGCAGCATCTAAACTCTTTCTTACTCATCAATCTCAGAATTTTTCTTTTTATAAAGCGTAAATTTTTATTTTGTATAGAGTTCTCTTATTAATTTTTATTTTGATTGTAACTTTGGGCAATCTAATCATTAATAAGAGTACACGTTTTAGATACCTCAGATTTGTCATACATTATTTGTTAATTCTCTAGGCCTTTTTTATACAGGTTAACGTTATCAATCAATATCAATCTCCTACTCTCATCAACCTCCGTAGTCCGAGGAGCTCACATCAACTCAACCACTTTACGAGTAGAAGGAATAACTTTTAGCATATCTAGTAGCCTACCGCCTAGAGATGCATACATAAATGAATGGATAATGCTTGAAGATTCATACGACGAGGATAAGAAAGAGAGAAGAAGAGATAAAAAATATAACTGGTGGATCATCTAGGTTCTTTAAAATTTTCCTCTTGTTAGATGGGCCATAACCATCTTTTTGGGTACTATTCAGGGCACCCTCACCTCTGGCCAACGACATTGCCTTCCAACAGGGGAAAAATATAGCCACAAGATCTTGATCGCCTCTATCGTCGGTATTTAAACTCTTGCCGGATAGTTTTTCCCACACCAAGAGTATCCATTTTTTATTGCAACCATAAAAAACTTTTAAATTTTTGCTAGTCCGATTTCTCTTTAGTTTGTAGGAGAAATTTTTTGGATCGATTAAGAGAAGCGGAACCTTCTCCTTGACCCCTAAGGGGAGCATTTATAGTTTTTCAATGGAAATTTGGGGGGAAATTTTCTGAGATTTTTAATTTATTTTCAGATATTTTAATGCCCAAAAATAAATAAATCCTATTTTGCAAAATAAAATAGGAAACAAATTTAAAAAAAAATTAAATTAAATATAAATATTAAGGAAATTAATTTTTTTCCTTTCAAGAAAAAAATTCTAAATTTTCTAAAGATTTTCTGAAATTTTTTTGAAAATTTTTTGGAGCCAAAAAAAGTAGTTTACTACTAAAGGTTTAATTAATTAAGTTAATTAAAAAAAATCGCCTATTGAGGCATCGACTGTAGCCACCTATTACAGTTAATCGTTAATATATTTATATAACTATTATATTTAAAGTAATAATGACAAATATATATATATATATATATATATATTACAGCCTTTCTACAGGTAACATGTTAATATATTTATATAACTATTTATTTAAAACTAATAATGGACTAATAAATATAAATTTATTCTTGTTGTAGATTCGTTAAAAATATTAAGTATCAATTAATTGATTAAGTAACTTTTTTTCTGTAAAGTTAGATTTTGAAATATTTTTTTAGTCCGGAAATCATTTTTAGATGTTTTCTGGATTAAATTTTAATACTTTTGGAGCTCAAAGAGAATCTATGATAAGTTTTGAAGGTATTTGAAAAAGCTTTGTGTAAAACTTTTTTTTTTTTTCTTTCCGATTAATGCTCATTTCAAAGAATGTTAAAATTTCTGATTTATTTTGGACTCTTACAAGATTCGATGCACCAAAATAGGGGGTGACTGATACGGTCACAAAAATCATCTTGATCGTGCACAAATCTCGAGGCCTATTCAAGTTGAAAACTTTCATAATTAAAATTCAAGACCATAGAATTCCATTTCATCATACTTATAGTCAAACTGAATATCTCAAAAAGACAAACAACAACACCAAAATCGATCTGATCCGAGCCAAAATGAGTTCAAAATGGGGGCCCGAACCACATTTAGAAGGTTTAAAAATATTTTGAGGATTAATGATATCCAAAATGACATGCTTATAGTCAATCGAGTGGCACCAGCGGACAAATCCACTAGCCCAAATTGCTGATTTTTGGCATGTTTAAGGCTTTAAACATTTAAAAATGCTTTATGATATGAGGAACAATACATGACATTCGAATGGAGCACTCGGAACCTGCTCGGTATCTTTCTTATATATATATGGGATGGTGTCCTGCATGAACATTTATAATAGACACTCACTCTCTATTTAGAGGGAGGCCCTTGGTGAAGATTTGAGAGAGTATTTTGATTGCTTTTAAGAGCTCCATCTCCACCACCAATGAAGCCTCCACCCAGCCAGCGATGAACTATCACGCCAGGCCTTCATGTCACGTCGTACTTCTGCCTTGAAGCCACCTCCCAGGCCGCAGACATCGATGACTTTCCACACGTCCATCGAACTGTCGCCGAATTTTTCACCACAATCATAATCAGAACACACGCCGGCTGTCAATTTGCCGCTTCGCACCCGCCTCGCCACCGGACCACTAACCGACGCCAATCTTGCATAGACTTCCACCCCACCTTGACCACGCTGGACTTCTACTAAAGCATCTTGGGCCCTAGCCTGTCGTAGGACTTATCCAGACTTCCACCGGAGTCAGTCGATCTGCCTTCAACTTTCGTGGCATCATTGGAACCGCCTGTGGTTCACCCTTATCGTACTTCACTCAGCGTTGCCAATTATACCGATTGGACTCTACGCGGCACCATTGTTGTCCACGCAGTCTTTTACACTTTTGTCCGCGACTACGATCCTTCGACATGTCATCAGGATGCGGTCTTTTCTTGACCTTCATTCCACCTCGACTTTCATCCCCAGCCGACTAAGTCCTTCCAACCTCCTTCGGACAGACTACGGCCTTTTCGACCTCTCGCTGCCGACTAAGTCCTTCCAACATTCGTCATCAAATTGATGATCTTTCCCACCTATGTGGCTCGTCGCTAAGGGTCCTTCCACCTATGTCGCTAAGAAGCGTCCTTTTTGGCCTAGTCGAATGGTTGATTTGGTATTCTTCCAACCTATTATCGTCCTAAAACGATTTCACGACCTCTCTAACTATATATGTGCTATATAATGATATAATGGCCAAGCCTTTACCCAGATGGATGGATCCCATTTGTAATGGGCTTAAAAAGTTAAGCTAGCGAATCAATTTTTAACTGCCAACGAACTCATGGTTTTGTGAAACTCTTTTCTTTCATGTTCAACTGTTTATGATTTTCCTTCCAGGTTTCGTCCGACGAATATTGGGTTTGTCCGGACGATGAACAGTTGAAAGCCTCTTAACGAGAGAGCTTCGTCGGACAAATGATTGAGTACAATGCAATCGACGTAGATCGCACTGGAAGTTATCGAAGAGAAATTTCGTTTGTACGGAAACTTTGTATGTGAACAGCCCGGGATGATCGGTCCGGGACGACTGGCGAAATATCGTCGGACGATAAGTGGGAAATAATCTCAACCATTAATATCTATTTCAATTTTTTGAGAGAGAGAGAGAGGAGAAGAAGAGAAGTGCAGGAAGAGAGAAAAAGATGAAAGAGTGAACAAAGCCGCATTTTGGGGGTTTCGGTTTCATTTGTGCGTCGCTCGTAGTGGGAAAGTTGATCGAACTCGGGTAGAGCATCATTGTGTTTCTCAATTTTCAAATATGATTTTATGACGGATTTTTTTTAAGATTTTGTTTTCTTAGCAAAACGGAAATATATTTTGCACCGTGTAAATTTTACCGCGTAATTTTGTATATTGATTGGGAGGGGGGATTATAATTTTTGCACGTTTTGAGTATTTTCTAGAAAGTTTTTCGGTTTATTTTAATTTGTCGATTTTTATCAAATAGTAAATTATTTTCTATTGTTGAAAAATATTGCTTCAGTACAGAAACGTCTTGAAATGATGTTTTTACACGATCTCTGTAAGGCTAATTTTTATGAAACTGTGAATTTTTTATCCGTCGATTTTTGTTTTGTTAACGTTTACTCTCTGACGATTTTCTTCGATAAGAATCTGATTCTCATTTAATTAATTTGATGTGAATCTGAATGATATCAAAAGGGAGTTAATAAAGGGCGCAGAATCATTTGAGACTTCTTGTCTGGGTCGGGACTATGAAAATGAATTATGATCTTAATTTCTGTATATTCTGAATAATTCTGTACTGTAAGACAAAAGGAGGCATAAGGGGGCCAGAATACTTTGAGTTATTTATCTGTGTAGTGGAGGGAAGGCTAAGGGGCCCAGAATGCCTTTGAGCTTCTGTCTGGGTCAAATAGCTAAGTGATCGATATTGATTGATCTGTAAAAAAAAAAATCAATTTGTATTTATATGATTCTGGATACGAATCTTGATCAAGTTCTTCTGTATCTGTTATTTGATTTTCTCTGATTATCTGTTTTATGTGGAATATCTGAAGTCTGATTGTTTTATCTGTTCTATATGATATCTGCATTCTGTTCTGATTCATATGATTTCTTATACATTGATTGTCTTAATTCTATACGGCTATTTGAATAAATTATTCTTTAAGCTTTTTGTGAGTATTTTGATCGACTAGTGTATGTCTTGCTGAGCTGTTAGCTCACATGTCTGATCATCTCATGGTTTTCAGTTCTGGGAAACGGGAATAGGTTTTTGGCTAGCACGTTCTATATCTGATCTGAATTAGCTATTTTTACTTTTTGATTTTTGTACAATCATCGACTTTTTCGCGTTATGTTCTGT